ACTTTTAGTGGAACATAAAAAATTAAAAAGCATTTCCTCTTACATACCAGTCAGAAGCTTCACAATTTATGTTGTTCTTTTAGCATTGGTAAGCTCATCATCATAAAACCCATTCATTAGTGCATCTCTTTTGCTTGCTCTTACTTTATGGTGGTCAGATTCATTTATCTGCCATATTATATGAAATCTGGTGATGATATTAAATTTTCTTGTTTTCTTTTTTTTTTTCCTTCTTTGATGCCAACAGGAATCTGCAAGCAGAATATGATCGTCTGAAGCAGCAGCATGAACATAAAGGCCTGTCCCCACTGCCGTCTCCCCCTGAGATGATGCCCACCTCTCCCCAGAGTCCCCGGGATGCTGAGCTCATTGCAGAGGCCAAGCTACTGCGTCAACACAAAGGCCGCCTGGAAGCCAGGATGCAAATCCTGGAAGACCACAATAAACAGCTGGAGTCTCAGTTACATAGGCTAAGGCAGCTGCTGGAGCAAGTGAGACCCACATCTGTCAAATTCACAATAGTTACAAATATTTGATTTCTCGTCATAAGCAAAACCAACAACCAGAACTCAGAGTCCTCCTTATAAGTACCACAAGCATCGATTCTTTCATGCTTAGGATGTGCCTAGTAAAGCACTAGGTGTCAACAGATATAAAAAAAAGGAGGAAATGAGTATGCCTTTTTATATTTATTCAAGATTGTTTCCTGCCAAAATGGGGTTTTTTAAACCAAATTGAAATGCATCTTAGAAAATAAAATGCCAAAAGATTTTAGTAGTTTTCTCTAAATGAAAACGTTATCACTTGAAATGGAATTCTTTTCTCTGAAATAGCATATTTTTGTATCCCTGTTGGGTTTTTTTTCTTCTCCTAAACCCTAACATAAACTTTTCATGCCTCCATTTCAAAACCTAGCAAGATACAGCACTGTAACAGGTCCTATCTTTCGACCATTAGTCCTAGATTTCTGGGAATTTGAAATTTTGAGATGTGTCAGCTTTATCTAATGTGTTACTTAATACTTCCCCAAAATATGAATTCTGCATTGCATTTTGAGATCTTATGTGGTCTCACCATTCTCACATGGCCTTCTAAATCAATGATTTATGTACCTTGTACCACTGTAACTCAGATTTTTTTTCTCATTTTTAAGGGGCACGATTCAGATACAAAAATAATATCCATGGATCCTATCAACAGTAAAATATCCCAAATTTAACAATCTCTGGGTGATTTCTAAGTAGAGAAGTTTATAATTTCTGAGTATTTCTATTTTATATAATTTGAGTGTTTATTGTGAAAAATAATTCTCTTTTCTTTTGGATGCTTTAGCCCCAGGCAGAGGCCAAGGTGAATGGTACCACAGTTTCTTCTCCTTCTACCTCTCTACAGAGGTCAGATAGCAGTCAGCCTATGCTGCTCCGAGTGGTTGGCAGTCAAACTTCAGAATCTATGGGTAAGTGTCTTAAGTACTCCAGATTTTATCTTTTAAGATCTGGAAAAGGTACAATGATATTAGCTAAATTATCTAATACCAGTTCCTGGACAGGGCATTATCATAAATGCTTAGGGTATACAGTGATACTAGCCCAAAAGAGCCAGCCTCTCAGTTATTTAGGACAAAGCAGATGTATATTATGTTCCATTCATTTTTAGAGACTAGGAAAGGCTTTATTGGTATTTGTGAAGGATTCCAAAAGATGGCATTAGGGACAAAGCATACCCTGCAATAGGAATAGTGGAAACAGTTGTAGAGAAGAGGAGCTTGGGCCAAGGATGGAAAACAACCAGTTAAGTAGAAAGACAGGGTCCCAGGAGTAGGCAGAAAGGAAATAGGTTGCAGAGGAAAAGTTGGAGTCACACTAGCGTGACATGAATATTGGGCAGAGGTGTTTAATTCATTTTGGTAAGTGTTAGTGAGCCATTGAAAATCACATCCCAGGGTGAGAAATACCTAAAAAAGAATATTTTTAAAAGACATATTCTGACATTGGTATCTGGCCCAAAGTAAAACTTTTATAGGTAGAAAGACCAGTTAGATGGCAATTGCAAAGGCTAAGATGTGTGAGTTCTGAATTCCTGCATTTCAGAGATGACTATGAGACTATTTCATGAAAATAGAGTTCCCAGGGCCTGGGGACAGAGTGCCATGTGTGAAAAGAGATGAAAGGAGAGGATGTTGACAGAAGATAGTGAAAATTTTAATTATGCGTTTGAAGAACTGGCAGGTTTTCTAAGCCATGTTGAAAAGAAGGTAGAATGCAGATCTATACCTGGTGTAAGAGGACAGCCTGAGAGAGACAGTGAACTCCATAGAATTGATTGCTGAAGTATGTGAGATGAGAGATATAACAAAGATGCTTGGATATAATGCCTTGGGAAAGACCTCCATTTGGGTAATGGGATGGAGAAGGACTGAGAAGTAGGAATAGGTTTAAAGAAGGTGTGATCAAAAGGTCAAATGCTAAGCAGAGCATAATGGAAATGAAATCACAGCCTGTTGAATCACTGTAAATGCAGTGACCACTTTGGAGAAAGCATTTTCAGAGAAGGGATGTTGGAACACTTTTGTCCTTTAAATGAAATAAAAGGCTATATCATTTTTAAAATGAGTGAGAATTAAAGGATGTGAAGACACATTTGGAGCATTGCCAAGTAAGAATGAAGGCTTAGGTAAAAAGTTAGATGAAACTTTTGAGGAAATGGTCAGTATGGTGTGGTGTCATTCTTCAGCAAGGTTCTTTGCCTAGGCCTGAGTTCTAAGAAAGCTGGAATTGATAAGGCAAACATGATCAAAGAAGGTCAAAACAAGTAAGGAATTTTACAGTGGTCATAATGTGTGTGACAGGGGTTGCCAGCCAACTGTTCATTGGTGTTTTTCTGCTGCAATAGGTTAGACAGTAGTTAGTGTTTTATGAAGGCCACACATATTTATACCATTTCTTTCATTTCTTCTTTTCTCTTAAGGCCAAGCAAGCATGAGTCAGCTTCATGGTTCTATCCTTCCCTTTCCCAGATCCTAAAGTGGTTGTACTTGACTCTCAGTATTACCTCACAGAACCTGACTCGCCTGTAGTCCCAGCTACTCTAAAAGCTGAGGCGGGAGGATCACTTAAGCCCAGAAATTCAATAGCAACTTGGGCAACATAGTGGAACCCCATCTCAACAAACAAACAAAATCGGTATACCTCACAGAAAAGTAGAAATCTGTGACTCCTGTGAATCTGAGTTTCTTTACACTTAAAGCTCTTTTGCCTGGTATGGTGGTGTTTGGGAATTCATTTCATACTTGAGATCATCCATGGGGTAGAATAAAGAGAAGTAAAGTGCCTAACCCAAACCAATAGGACAAAAAGGAAAGGTCAAATGTGCAAATGAGTTTTATGGATGTGGAGACCATGATCAAGAAGGTTCAAAAGTTGTGTATCATGGAAGTAAAATGCTTTCAAGCTATTACCATAGTTAAGATATAGCTTTCCAGTAAGCTGCTAGAGGTGGTACATGGAGATCATTGAATGGTTAAGCGGTAAAGTTCTTGGGTTGATAAGGCCAGAGCTGTGGGGCTTACCGCAGGGTGGTGAGGCCCTTGTGTGATGGGCTGGTAGATCAGGATAGGAAAGATGTTGAGGAAGGTGGATGATAGTTCTGAGAAAGAAGAGAGGTTGGTTGAAGCAAATCTGATGATGTTGAAGAGTCTGGAGCAGTGAGGAGGGGTACATCCTCTTCTAGAAAAGTCAAACCTTGTAAGAAAGCCGGTTTGAGTTCTTCTGAAAAGGAAGAAATTATGTTTGAAGTTATTTTCTTGATTTTACTATACCTCCATAATTTAGGGCAGTCTTTGTGTCAGATTCTCTTTCTCTCCATGAGATCTGAATATAGCTAATGGACTGTTGCAACTGTAAATGATAGCACAGAGCGTGAAAAAATATTGCATGCCTTTAAAAAGTCTGTGAATTCTGGAAAAAACTGAGCTTTAGTACCTTTGTTATTATTTCCTACTTATGGGTTTTCCCTGTTTTTGAAGAAAGTAAAGCATGTGAAATGAAGTCACATTAATTTAGCAGTGAGATTCAGAGCCCTGGTGTTTAGAAGCATTAATTATTTTAGGTTGTCAACACTGGCCGAAGAGGCAGCAGGCCTGTTAAAGCATCCAAATTAAAGTACACATCAGGCTGTGGTCCTGGTGATTTGTGGAACCAAAAAGATTGTGGCAGAACTGAATACACAAACATGCTATATTCCAGTGACAGAGTTAGGCTAAAAGATAACTGCCTGTGTAAAATGGATAGGCTATGTTGTTAAGTTTGTTCTCTGAAAATTAATGAACTGAATTCAAAGGTGCTTTTTATTGAGCTGCAATAAGACAAGTTCATTTAAAAAGGAAAAATAAAGAACTATGTTTTTGAAAGATAATCACAGGTGTAAGTAAATGGAATGCGTATCCTTGTGCTTTGAAGTTTGAGGTGTGGTAAGACTGGGATTTGTTGAGCCATATTCTGGATAAAAATGTGGCATTCTTTAAATATACAGTCCCAGAGATTTTCTTTTAAGAGAAATATGGGAAAGGTCATTCTAGGTGATCTGTCTCAAGTGTTGAATTACACTTGGCCCTCCACACCCACAGTTCTGTATCATGGATTCAGCAGACAGGTTAGAAGTACTTGGGGAAGGGAATTCGTTTGTACTGAACCTTTTACAGATTTTTTTCTTGTCATTCCCTAAACAGTACCGTCTGATGACTATTTGCATTATATTAGGTATTATAAGCAATGTAGGCATGATTTAAAGTATATTTTCTATAAAGGGCTTGAACATCTATAGATGTTGGTATCTGAGGATTCTGGAACCAGTCCTCCACAAATACTTCCTTAAACTATGAATTACTTCTGACTAATAAGTCTCTGTGTACCATTTGTCTTCTATACAGCTTTTACCAAGAGTGTGATAATGAAGCTTACATTCTATTGGAGTAGACAAGAAATAGAAATTAGAAAGTTTATCTTTTTTTTTTTTTTTTTTTTTTTACTTTTCTGAGCTCTACCCACAAGAGTCTATAACTTCTAACAAACCCCTATCTCCAGTGACTCCTTATCTTCTACAAGATTACTCTTTTAAAGTATTTTATATTTTATTTATTTGTTTAAAAATGTTAAACAGTTCACTAACACTTTAAAAATAGATTTTATTGTGCAATTTTGAGTTTTATACTTTTTTATTTAGAACAATTTCAGGCTTATGGCAAAATTTCAATTAATCCAAGATTTTGTCATATCTGTTTTGCTTTATATCTATATATTTATATATTTTTTATACTTATGTTTTTTAAATATTATTGCATATATTTATATTAACATGTATATATCTATGTTAATATATTTTACATATACTATATATTTGTATTTTATGTGCATATTTATCCTACTTATGTGTGTATATAGTTAGTTGATTTATTTATCTTATTCCACTGACCTATTTAATGATTGTTTCATACGAAATGGCACTTTAGCACTCAGGAGGCCGAGGCAAAAAGATCATGAATTCCAGGCCAACCTGGGCTACATAGTGAACCCATCTCCATAAAAAAAAAGTACATTTCAATGGGTGTGTGCCTTCCAAGATGAAAGATTTTCTTTATATAACCAAACAGAACTATCACACTTAAAGTGAACATTTGTACAATACTGTTATTTAATACGGAACTCAAATTCAAATATCACCAATAACATTCTTTATAGCTTTTTCCTCCCTATTCAGAATCCAATGGAAGGTTATGCTTTGCATTTAGTTGTCATTTCTCTTTAGTCTCCTGTAATCTAGAAAACTTCTCCATCTTCTTTACGTCTCTCTCTCTCTCTCTCTCTCTCTCTCTCTCTCTCACTATTTCTCAGCAGTACTGGGGTTTGAACTGAAGATCTCACACTTCTTAATCAAGTGCTCTACCACTTGGGCCACACCCCAGCCTTCGTATCTTTGTTGACACTGATATTTAACAAGAGGTCAAGCTATAAGTTTTGTAGAATGTTTCTCAATTTGGATTTGCCTGCTTTTCATTATTGATTAGATTCCAGCTAAATATTTTATGTGGATACCACATGACTAAGATGGAATCCTCCTCAGCATGTCAACATGAAGCCTTTCCTCAAGATTCTTTCTCCATCCCCTTAGCCTCTTTCACTCTCCCAAGGTTCCCCTTTTGTCGTGCTTCTGCTATATTGGTAACCCTATTCCAAATTTCCATCCCGATCTTTATCCTAAGCATCTCCTGGGTAAAAGTATTGTCCAATATGAAATTGTGATCAACCTTTAGAATATCTTTTCCAATGTTCAACACATTCTTCCTTTAGTTACCTTTCCTAACTATATTCAACCACTACCAATCAATCGTGAAGGTTCTCCTTTTGCTTCTTAAAAAAAGAGAAAAACACTTCAATTTAGCTTCTGCTGAGATTTAGCCTTTATCATATATTACCTGAGCAGACAATATGTATACTGCTCTAAATGGTTTCTTTCCTTTTCCAAATCATCTTTAGATACTTTCTAGTTTTATGGCTCTCTGCTCACACTTAACTCTTTGTGAGCAAAATTGTTTTCTGAACCTGAAATATACTGTCCTTTCTTTTCACATAATGGGTCTTTGTTTGTAACTTAATCAGACAACATTTGGTTTTATCAATGTATTTTATCTTGTAATTCATTCTGTGTTACAGTAATACATTTCTTTCTCCTCTTAGAACTCCCTAGATCTTAATTCTTAAGTCAGGTCCTGTGTTTATACTCATTTTCATTAGAAATCGAGTACCCTCTACTACATACTTGTGGATATGGACTAAGTCATACATTTAAGAAATTCAGCTACTAATTTCAGTATCTCTCACTTAGTAATCATCATCATCTTTGTGCATATTTATTTTTTATGACAGTACTTGGGTTTGAACTCAGGGCTTTGCTCTATCACTTGAACCATGCCTCCAGCCCTTTTTGTTTTGGTTTTTTGGAGATAAGGCCCTTGCTTTTTGCCCCCAACAGACTGGGATCACTGTTCTATTTTAAACTTCCCTCTGTAGCTGGGATTGAAGGCATGTGCCACAACCAACTTTTCTGTTAATGGAGTCTTGTAAACTTTTTTGCCTTTGCTGACCTGGAAACACAAATCCTTCTGATCTTAGCCTCCCATGTAGCTTGGGATGACGGTGTACATCCCTGCTTCCAGCAATGAACCATAATTTATTAAAAAGAAGTTACACATAGTACTATAAAATTGAAAGCATATATTCCTAAAATGATAGGGGTATAGAAAAGTAATTGGAATTAGTATAGGATATAGATAAGCTGTTGCTTTTTTCTTCTGAGAACACTAGAGAAAGACAAGTAGTAAGGTAATAACACATCAAGTTGGAAATTGCGTTAAAATCCAAAAGAAAAATAATGGTGAGTGTATTTGCTCATACACCACCTCCTTTATAAGAGAAAATCATATTCTTATGTACAGCTCCATTTTTAAAAAGGGAAAAACATTTGCCTAGGTGTAGGTAGAATCACAGAGGTAAGATTTGTATGTGTATTCTGCACAGGCTGCATAGATTCTGGCTGCAGTCATTTATAAGGAAGTAAAACCATTATCAGCATTGGAATGAGGAAAGGGAAATGAGTTATGTAGGATATCATCCCTTCAAGGAAAGTCTGAAAACCATAGTATGTTTCAGGAGACCTTGAAAAAATATCTCACCATGGCAAGCCATTCCATTTCTGTTTTCTTACCACTAAATTGAACCATTTCTAATTAATTTTTTTCACTATCTGTGATTAATGAAGAGTATCATATTATTAGATTCACGGTCTATTTATCTATGACTGTTCTTTTCCTTATTTGAAGCATTCATCTTTAAAATTTTTCAGTCATTTCTTTGGCCTTACTTCAGAAGAACCAAGACATATTGTTAATAGACCAAAATTAATTTTATGCATATTTGTGGAATCAATTGGGAATGAAATCAAATGAAGCATTAATGTTAAAGAATTGCCATTAACTGCAATTAAAATTCCTCAACCACTTAGCAATATGCTATTTGAGCAGGCAGTGCATCAGTAAAGTAGGGATAAGGACTGGCCAAGTTCCTAAGTGGACACAATTGGACTCAATAAATATCTTC